TACTGTAAAAGCCATTATTCTAACGAGGCGCATATATATTATAACGATTTCCCAAAAAATTACTGGTTTACGTGTACCAAAAATAACGATTCTCACTTATTCTCAACGCTCAATAGGACAGTATATTATGTATCGATTTCTGTATAACGATTTCTATTTTAACGACAGATTTCTCCTCGTTAACTCGTTAGAGTTATTATTAACCCTTTGGAACTGCACTGATCACACGACGTCTGGAGATAGCTGCAATTGCAAGTATATTCGTTCCAATTTCCATCATAACGCTGGTTCTACTTCACCGATTTTGACGATCTTGGGCTCGTTGGAAAGCTCTTGGAACGAGGATGACAGCGAGCCCAAACTCATTCAGGAGAGCGATTGCTGGCTGCCACTGAATGCCAGGAACGCCAGCTGAATACCAAATCCAAAACGGGAATAGTCCTTGTCTCGCCATTTCACTCGTGCTAGCTCAAAATCATTCAAATTTTTTCTAACAGACTCACAAAAGCCGTGACAAAAAGCGCTGGGAGTGATGTCACACGCTGCGTGGGCAGGAAGAGGGAAAATCCCACTTTTGAACGAAATTTGCACTCTGCTGACGCATGAGAAATCGAGCGAACGCTCGAGCACTTGCCGCTCTGTTATACTAGCTCGTATCGACCCCGGAGTTTTTCGAGCCGACAGCTTAGATTCTCTGCTACCTCGTAGGTATTTCGATTGTTGAATTCGGTTGAGATTTGACTGAGTTGTGACTCGTTGAGTGCACTTGCACACATGACATTGGCATCGTTCGAATTCGAACGATGAGCTCCAAAGGGTTAAGTAGTGGTTGCGAGAGTTATTATTAATATTATTATTACGAAGTAGTGGTTGCGACTTCGGCGATGATTTGTAAGAAAGGGTTTGCTCCCCACACTGGAGCTCGCGCTATTCCGCCGACTTTACTTGACACTTGACTGATTCACGACTGCCATCCAGAGCACACGAGAAGTCCATCGAACCTTCGACTCGGCAAACCTGCAAGAAAGCACCACTCCCTGCTCAATACAGTGTTTCGGGGAATTCACCCCTCATCAGTTGAGCTTGAGTAGGCTGAGGAAGATTGTGCCTGAAGAGCACCACTTATATAGTGCTCTCCAGGCACAAACATCACCAGGGATACAAACTTACAGAGACGCTCCGTTTCCAGCGCCACAAACACCTCGTGAACACCAGATAGCAGCGTGAGTCAGTGTCGCTCCTGGACGGTGAGAACGGATGGACTTCTCGTGTGCTCTGGATGGCAGTCGTGAGTCAGTCAAGTGTCAAGTAAAGTCGGCGGAATAGCGCGAGCTCCAGTGTGGGGAGCAAACCCTTTCTAACAAATTATTATTATTATTGCAAATAACGCTGAGTGAGTATACTGTACTGTAATAATGATACATGTATACAGTCATGACATTGTACAGATAGTTGACGTAGACTTACTGAGTGTTAAAAGCCGCGGACATACATGATTGTACATGACTGTAATACGAGCAAATACATGTATGCACCACTATTCTACTAATAAACTACAGCCGAAAACTACGAAGTCAAAAGCAACACAACAAGTGGAAAGCATTTGGCACATACAGATAATTTGCAAAAAAAAGGTCGGATAGAGAACAGTACTTGCGTGACATACCGGCAGAATGAACAAGGCAGACTCAAAACACTCCAATACTCTGCAGCAAGATAACACTGGCAAACCGTGATCCAGTTCACACAGCGCTGGACAAACTTTGCTACCGTCAATGTATCCATAGTGACCCCCTGAAAATGCCAGGAAATGTTAAATTTTGAATTTTCCTTTGTTCAAGCACTGCACTTGCAGGCAAATGAAACGTCATCAAAAAGTGTGGAGCACGACCGCGGTACCGCGAATGGCGAGTGTCAGTGGAACCGCGCTGCTCCGCTGCATGTACCGCGGAGCAGCGGAGCCGCAGTGGAACCCGGGCCTTAGGCTGTGTTAACACGAGAATTTTCAACCCGGGTTGAAAGTCTGTACAGTCATGTATGGTGGAAAATTAGGTGCGTGCTCACATGTATATGAAGTGAGTTAATCCGGGTCAATTACTGTACTGATATGCCAACAGAAGCCTTGTCAGTTGTGGTCAGTTTTGTGTGTGGGCCTTCATGAAGACGGTTGAAAGTAATAATAATTAAATGTGGTGCACTAACTCCCTTACTTACACCACACACTACCATCCTCTCGACTTCACTGATTTGAGACTGAAAATAAATAAATCCAAGTAATATTAGTTACTCACCTCTCACAGACCTTCCTCCTCTCTTATCACGGCCAAGGTGACCAGACATATCATGCGAGTGGCATGGATGCAAGATCTCCTTTTGTTGACCGTCGTCTGTGATCCATTGTGGTAGGCCTTCATCTGTTTGGCGAAAAAGGACCCCACGATCCAAGACGAAGTTGACTGCAAAGCGTTTTATTGCTCTACGCCTCTTCGCGTCCGCAGGAAACGAGGCAGGCGTTTGCAAGACTTCGTCGTAACACGCCCGATTACCAACAAGAGAAGACATCTTCAGGACGTTTTGAAGAAAAAAAACCGAAAGCACAACTCATGATTGGGAACTGATTTCGCGGATGCATGTCGATCCGCGAAAACGGTCCATAGATGCAGGAAATGTGTGGAACCGTTTTCGCGGAGGAACCGTTTTCGCGGCTAGCTGGAACCGTTTTCGCGGTGAGACCCCGTCCGCGAAAACGGTTCCAAGAGGGCCATAGATGCAGGAAATGTGTGGAAGAACCGTTTTCGCGGAGGAACTGTTTTCGCGGCTAGGGTGGAACCGTTTTCGCTAGCGAAAACGGTTCCAGGGGGTAACCGGTGTATGCCTGGAACCATTTTCGCGGAGGAACCGTTTTCGCGTTTACACCGGCCGCGCGCACGTGGACACGATCGACCACCCGTTTTGGTTTTTTCACCATAGACGTAGACGTAAACGGGAGTCGGAGAACGTGGTGTGATGACGTAAGGCCGTCATCACATATATATATATATGTGATGACGGCCTTACGTCATCACACCACGTTCTCCGACTCCCGTTTACGTCTACGTCTATGGTGAAAAAACCAAAACGGGTGGTCGATCGTGTCATCAGACAGGCACGCGCGCGCACAGTTCTTGACGCGTACACGCAGTCAGGTTTTGTGGAGAAATTTGAACCCACGTACATCGAAGTACAGGGCTAGGGTCGCTCGGAAAAAGGCTGGGGGAGATACGCACGTTCATACAAAAAGTCGTATACCACTCCATACCACGTCCACGTCTCCCGTTTCCTCTGCTCCCGTTTTCACCCCGTATACGGATCATCATGACAACCGACCAAAAACTCCTTGTGCCTACGATACGGCTGGACCCCTCCCCGACTACCAACCCACTGCGTCTGCGGCAAGCAGTTTGACACGACGCATGCACTGTCGTGTTCGGTTGGTGGCTTCCCTGGAATGCGGCACAATGAGATTCGCGACCTCACCGCTGCGGGAAGTAGCCCACGATGTTTGTGTGGAGCCTGCACTGGAGCCCCTGTCCGGTGAAATGTTCCCTCTTCGGTCGACCAACATCGAAGACCATGCTAGGCTGGATGTGGCAGCGCGGGGGTTGTATGGGAGTAGGTTTGAGAGGACAATGTTTGATGTTCGGGTGTTCAACCCTTTTGTCCCCTCAAATCGAAACCTTACACTCCCGTCTGTCTACAGAAAGCACGAGCAGGAGAAGCGGAGGAAATATGAGCGGCGAGTTCTGGAGGTAGAGCACTCCTCCTTTGTGCCCATTGTCTTCTCCACCACTGGTGGACAGGGAAAGGCCTCATCAGCGCTGTTTGCCAGGATTGCCAGCAAACTGAGCGACAAGCGCAACGAGCCTTTCTCCGTCACCATGGCTTTCGTCCGGACCAAACTGTCCTTCAGCCTAGTGAGAGCCATGGTTGCTAGTCTGCGCGGCTACCGGCGCTCTTCAGTGCCACTTCCTGTTCACTCGGCTGTTCTGGCGGCTGCTGAGTGTTCATTGTAAGCGTATGACACAAGTACGGTTGATGTACATGGAGTTGCTTACCTCTCTTTCTTTCTTATCTTTTCTTTTCCTTCTTCTTTTTCTTTTTTCTATTTTACGTTTACTTTATACCAGGCGTGGGCCATCCCCTGTACATAGGTGCCATCATTTTTCTTTGTTTCTTTTTGGTCATGTCTACAGACTATGGTTAAAAAAATTTTGTCAAGTGGTAAAATAACCAAAAACTCCTTACGTGTGGACGTAGACGCAGTGCTTTGTACCATGGTGTGATGACAGCCTAATGCAGTGACAACACACAGTATAACACACAAGAACTAACGGACAGAGCCGATTTATCTGTCCCCGGGGAAAATTGCGATTCCGCGGCCGCGTTTTTTCCCGCGTTTTTTGCGATTTTTTAAAAGACCGCGTTTTCCGCGATTTTCCCGCGTTTTTTGAACTTTTTGTTGCACCACACGTCCATACAGTGCACTGTTCGGTCAGTAACGTCTCATTGTGGCGGCTTTTTACTCAAATATGACGAGTGCTTACACCAGAGACTTGTAACTGATTGATTTCACTACATACTCACTGAAAATTGCCGCGCATCAATAATATTCACCGCATTTCACCGCATATTTACCGCAAATTATGCCATATTATGCCGCGTTTTTTGCGATTTTTTTCCGCAATTTTCCCCGGGGACAGATTTATTAGGGTGAAAAGCCGCGACAGTGAAGAACAACATGATGAGTATCTGGTCCAACTCCCGATTTAGTGGCATCAAGAGTACATGAAAACCGTTTTTTATGTACTCTTGGTGGCATGCATTACTGTTGTAGCCTTGGCAACCTTTGCCGGGGGGGGGGGGGGGGGGCAAACTGGGCCTTGGAGGGTGGCATGCAGCGCACTCTTGATATGAACAGTCAAAGGCTTAAAAAAAAGTTTTCACACAGACACAGTGCACAGTGCAGTTAGTTTCAAGATTTCCCACAAGAGTAAATAAAAAAAACGTACAACATAGCCAATGACATCAGAACGGTTCTTGGTTATCAATAAGGCATCCAGCATTCAACAGTTCTGTAACTTATGTTCACACTCGCACTATGTACTAGTCAGTGACGTTATCAGTTCTGTAATCCATAAGTAAATGCAAATTTAAAAACCATCATTATGCGTTTATGTCATTATCCTACCCAGTATTCAGCATGGCATACTTTCAGATACAAATAAGTCATGGAGTTGAAAAGCAAAATGCACTGTTTAAAAAATGATCGTGTGCTCAGTTGAATATCTGGAAACGAGTGGGTTTAGATTCAGCAAGCAAAGAACAAACGGAAATGATCACCAGTGGCGTTTCACTATCTACCATCAGGTCAACCTAAAAAAAGAGAGAAGAAAACTAGATACGCAAGTACACTCATGTGTTACCTCCGCAGGACAGCACACACTGTGACAATGAAATCAGGTGAGCTCGCCGCGATCGATCCCAGGATCTTGACGGTGGTCAAACGTAAGACCAAGATCGTCATCATCACCAGGTTCATCCCCAGGTCCATAGGTCTCCTGGGTCGACTTAACAGGATAGATGCACTCATCGTCTTTGCTTGTTACGTACCATCTGTTATCTATGCACATCTTCAAGAATCTGCAAGCAGGAACAGGAAGCAGCAGACAATAATGTCAACCAAAATACTAAGCGAGCCCTCGGATTTATTCCGGCGTATGGCACACCGTAGTTATCGCCGCCGGCAACCGAGTAGGCTGCTGGCGCCAGGCGACGCGGACGCAGCCAGGGGAATCTGGCATGCGTGGCGGGCAGCTACATGTAACGTTATGTCCCTGTTCGGCAGCCAGAACCTGGCACAAGGAATGCCTCGCATACAACAAGGCGTACACACGCTGCTGGCAGGTAGTGACGGGCTTATCATGCCATATCCGCAGAGCTGATCATAGTATGTTCTCGGCCTGGAGCTCTGGAAGGAACCCAGGGCGCGCACTACAAAGTGCTTGTGCGCCTCTTGTTCTACACCGCCCGAAACGGTGCTAGAGACAGTAGTAGGAGTACTCCGATCATTACTACCGACTTGAGAATACAGGTGGAATCCTGATAATTCAAACCTCAAAATGCCAGGAAAAACTTCTAATTATCTGGACATTCTAATTATCCAAACATGAACCCACAACACAATATGTACGTCAAAATGCTCTCGTGGTCACGCAGAGTTGCGCTATGGACCTTAGAAACAGATTGCGCGGATACTGAACTGACCGACACAGCCTGCTCATGCAAACTGAACTGACCAGTACAATGTACAGTGAACTTCGAATTACACTTTGCTAACTTCGAATTACCAGCACAAATCCCACACATTTTCTACGGTAAGTGGAATCTGTGGGACTTCGAATTAACCGGACATATCCAGTTCAAGGTTCGAATTATCAGAAATTTGTATGTGGGACCCATATTGCTAGAAATCGGTCCTGGAAAAACTTCTAATTAAACGGTATGTTCGAATTAAGCCATATTCGAATTATCAGGATTCCACCTGTACCACGTACGACTAAGGCGAAGGCCTCGGGCCCAATGCATTTTGATGGTGGACACCGGTACATACTGTGCACATATGGAGAAGTCGACGTCGGTTCGATGTTGGTGCGCGGGCCCAGGAATCTCGATTTTTCGGTCTCGCCTAAGGCTAAGGTAAACTTGTACATGATCCGTTCCGTGACTCATACCTCATACACCTACATTAGGGATGTCAGCGAACGCACTGCGCAGGCCTCTGCGCATGCATTGCGTCATCGATTTTTTGAACGTGATCGCGGCCGACAGAGAAAACATAGCCGCGGTCTGTTTGCACCGCTGGGAGTCGTAAAATTACTGTTCTTCTGTCCCCGCGACCATTCAAATCATACGCGATACTCGTGGACCCCGGTCGATTTCTCTGAAAGTTTGCACATCGTGAAACACCAGTATGAGAGGTGTTCAGGCCAATTTTCAAGGAATTTCCCTGGTTTGATCGTTCCAAAATCGGACTTCCATTTCTCGCTCGCGGCCATTTCTTGCGCGATGGAAGCGCCCTGCCCTGGTGAGTAACCAGCATCGCGCTTGGTAGAGAGTTGCTGCAATCAGCTCCCTGATGTCTTCGCTGCCATTGTCAGAAGCGATGGACCATGAATTTGTTTGAGAGTCTCTGGATGCTACTATTCCTCAGCCTAGTTTTCAGCCATTCCGTGCATCTTCTTCACACGATTTATTTTGCAAAAAAATGAAAGTGTTCATGAGTTTTCTTGTCGGCCGCGCGTAGATGGGCCAGGCTGACCTGCGCAGATGGGCTGCGCAGTGCGTTCGCTGATATCCCTACCTACATGTGTGATTTATCACACATACTCACACACCCACACACGCCTTGTTAGAGAAGTAAGGTGTCTCTCTCTCTCTCCCTCTCTGTCTCTCTCCCACTTGTGTACGCGTGATGCATATGCGTGCGTGTTGTCTTGTAGTCTTCCACTCTGTTTGGACAAATCCATCGTAATTTATCGTACGGTAGTTGCACTGCACTGGACTTATTACTGTATGGTGCTTTGGTTGCATGACTTCCTGCCCGCTCTGCAGCGCGGCACGTTCCGCCACTGTGTATTATTGTACACTGCTCTGGTTGACTTCCGGTGCTGCACTGCACGTGCAGCTGCACTCTGGAACGTGCAAGTCTTGTAGTATGCGTACCTGCACCGACCCGGGGTCGTTGGGCATGCGTGTTTGCGCCGACCCGGGTCGTGGGTGCTTTCTCTTAGTATTTTTCACATAGCTCCATGGATTGATTCCTTTAGAATAGGCCTAGACCCAGAAGAAGACGGTTGTGTTGTTTTGGCTGCGTGTCGTGCGGGCCAGTGAGTGCCGTGTGGGGTTCGTGAACCGCAGGAGCAAACAAGTTTAGTTGTAGTTTCGTAACATCCTCAGGTACAAAGCAGTGGGCATAGGATAAACAGTGCACATAGACAAATGTCTCGAAATAGATTAGCCTGATGGCACAGCAAATAAAGTATTTTCTGGGGTGTTACCTGCACCCCCCCCCCCCTTCGGATTCAGAATTCATTATTTTTGTTCGCATTTGCAAAATAAGGTGCACATCAGACTTTTGCATTTTTGGCAACCTACCGGTACATACAAGAAAGACATCACTGTTTCGGGGTAAACAAGTTAGTTGTTTACGATAGGATTATATTCTCACTTGGCCATTGTAGGCAAATCATAAGAACCACGACATCTAAAGGATCCTGCATGAAAGTAGGCAGCTGCGAGATGCGTATCTCGCGCATGCTCTTGCATGGCTACGTAATGCATTACATCATAATACAACATCCCCTTCGTCATAAAGGAGTTTAACAACCTACATAACATACCGTACGTATATGACGGCGTGTTCACAATATAGAACATAACATCCAACAATAGCTCTATGTACAAGGTAACAATCATGAATGGCACACGACAGCGTGCTAACAATACAGAGACATAGTATCCAACAATAGCTCTATGTACAATATAACAATGGCACCTCAGCTACTGTGACATAAGCGAACAGGTCCATGAGGTCTCTCTGGCCCTACACATCCAGGATTGACCTCGGTGCGACTGCGCGGCCAGACCATGTTCGATACAGCTGGGTGGCAGGTTCAGCAGGCTGGCTGACGTCACACGGTGACGGCGGCTGAGACTGGCTAACATCGCTCCACGGCGACGGCACGTCACTCGGCAGCTGAGGGCCTGCGAGACTGGCATCCGGCAGGAAGTGGACCCGCCTCTCTCTGAGGTGGGTACGGTTGCGCCGCACTTCTGTCCCATGGTCAGGCTGCACCATGTATGACCGTGGCCCGTTGACAGACTGGGTTACGATACCAGGTTCCCACAGATGCGTGGTCGGGCTGCGGATGCCGACGTGCTGACCAGGAACTAGGGGGCGGAGAGACTGCGCTCGCTGGTCATGGTGTACTTTCTGCTGGTCCTGCCGTTCCTCGAGCTTCTGTCGGATGGCCTCGTCCCGAGTGTCGCGCTGGTGTTTGCGAGGCAGGTTGTCCTGTACCTGACGACCGAACAGCATCTTGGCCGGCGACGGTAAGCCCTGGCACACTGGGGTGGCGCGAATGCACAGCAGTGCTAAGTGCGGGTCGGTCCCGCTCTCCCTTGCCTTCTCGAGAGCTCTCTTAGCGATCTTGACTTGCGATTCGATAAACCCGTTACTCTGCGGGTGATGTGGCGACGACGTACTGTGGCGGAATCCATATTCGGCAGCAAACTCCGCGAACAGATGGCTGCTGTATTGCGGCCCGTTGTCCGACTTCAGCACGGCTGGGATGCCGTGCTCACCGAAAATCTCCTTGAGGTGCTGGATGATGGCCCTGCTGGTCGCTTGTCCGGCAGGCAGCTTCCGGGTGATAAAGTACTTGGAGTAGTAGTCGGCAGCGATGAGGTATTCTGACCCGCCGAGGTAGAACAGGTCCGTGCCTAAGGTGTGCCATGCCCTTGGCGGAATATCGGGCTGCACCAGTGGTTCCTTGGCTTGACTGCTCTGGTGGCGCTGGCACGTCGTGCAAGATGAGACAGTTGCTTCGATATCCTTGTTGATGTCCTTCCAGAAGACGGACGTTCTGGCTCGCAGCTTGGTCTTCTCTATGCCTTGGTGGCTGGCGTGCAGCTTACTGAGGATTTCCCCCCTCATTGGCGGGGGAATCAGGACGCGACTGCTCTTCAGGATGAGACCGTCCTCGGTGCTCATCTCGTCGCGGAAATTCCAGTACGGGAGCAGAATTGCCGGCACCGCGCTCCTCTCTAATGGCCAGCCACTGAAGATCATCTCCTTCAGTGCTGACATCTCGGCGTCTTTAGCCGACTCCTCACGGATCCTCGTCATCGCTGCATGGCTGAATTGCGGGAACACGGCGTGTACACTGACGTCGAGGTCCTCAATTGGCTCTGTTTCCTCTGGCGACAGTCGGGATAGTGCGTCTGCGATCGGAATGTCCTTTCCGGGGCGGTACTTGATGGTCATGTCGTATGGCTGCAGCTTCAGCAGCATGCGCTGTAGACGCGGCGGGGCTGCGCGGAGGTGCTTGAGCTTGATTGACTCCAGCGGCTTGTGGTCGGATTCTACTGTGAATGACTGACCGAATAGGTAGGTGAGGAATCTTTCACACCCGTATACGACAGCTAAGAGCTCACGCTCAATATTGGCGTAGCGAGACTCCGTCTCGGTAAGCTTCTTGCTGGCGAATGCAACAGGCTTGTCGTCCTGCAGCAGAGTGGCGCCGAGACCTTTCATGGAAGCGTCGACTTGTAGTGTCGTTGCCTTGCCTGGGTCAAAGTAACTGAGCGCTACTTCTGTCGAAATGGCGGCCTTGACCTTGTCGAAGGTGCGCTGGTGGCTGTCTGTCCAGGCGAACGGTGTATCTGGCTTGGTCAGCTCCCGCAGGTGCGCGGTCAGTGTACTGGCATTCGGTATGAACGGGCTCATGTACGTGACTAGCCCGAGGAACGTCTGGAGCTCGTCCTCGTTCTCGGGGTGCTCCATCTGCTTCAGCGCTGAGACCTTCTTCGGGTCGGGCTGTATTCCGTCAGCGCTGCAGATGATGCCGAAGAACTTGATCTTGTCCTCTTTGATGCGGCATTTGTCTGGGTTCAACTTGAGACCAGATTGTTCGCAGCGAACCATCATCTGGTGCATGTTGAGATCATGGTCCTCGTCAGACGTCCCATATGTGACGATGTCGTCTGCAATGCCGGTGACGCCTGAGCACCCTTCGAACGTCTGGTCGATCCTTGCTTGGAAGACATCTTGCGACATCTTGAGGCCGAATGGCATGCGAAGGAATCTGTAGCGCCCGAATGGTGTGTTGAAGGTGGTGAGGTAACTGGATTCGTCGTCGAGCTCCACATTCCAGTACCCACATTTGACGTCGACGATCGAGAACACTTTGGCACCTCTCAACTTCGGGGTGATCTCCTCAATGGTGGAGACCACGTGGTGCTCTCGCAGGATGGCGTGATTGAGGTCCTTGGGGTCTAGGCACAGGCGTAGCTTGCCATTGTCTTTGAGGCGGAACACGAGGCTGTTCACCCACGCTGTTGGTTCGCCTTCCTGGATCTTGGTGATGATGCCGTTCTGGATCATGTCTTCCAGCTCCGTCTTGATCTCGTCTCTCAGTGCGATGGCGTGGAGGTGGCGTGGAGGGTGTACAACCGGGACGACGTTGGGGTCCACCGTGATGTGGTACTTGCCTGGGAATTTCCCAATGCCATCGAAGCACTTCGGGTATTGCTTCATCAGGTCGTCCTTGTCTCGGATGCTCGCTGGCTTCTCCTGGACAGCGCAGTTCAGCGTGACTAACTGCAGGGCTGTCGCTGTCGGGAGACCGATGATAGCAGTGCCAGGGCAGTCCGTGATGTAGAAGTCAGCGAGTTGACTCTTGCCATCGTAAGAGCACGGAATAGGACGGGTTCCGCATTGCTTTATCTTGGATCCGCCGTACGCTGTGAGGGTGGTACTTGACGGCTTCACGGACTTCGGCTTTGGGTATCCGTTTGGTCCGACGTGCTGGGGGAACATTTGGCAGAACACTCTCAGCGGCAATATATTGCCCTGGGCGCCCGTATCCACCTTGGCTCTCAAGGTGGCCGGTCTGTTGGTGTTGTCCAGGCTGACATTGAGGGTCGCGAACACCTCTCGCTCTAGTGGCGGTTGGTGACGCTCGACGCTGTCGATGATGACGGCGTCGAAATGCAGTGCGTCGAAGCGTCTCCGTGGGCTGGGGCTCCTCTGGGGGTAGCGCTCCCGCGGGCTGGGGCTCCTCTGGCGCCAGCGTCCGCGTTGCTGGCCCCTTCCATGTGCCTCGTCTCTCCCCTGCGAACGGCATACGTTTGCCCAGTGATTCGCCTTCCCGCATTTGTTGCAGGTGGAGCCGTGCGCTGGGCACTTGCTTGGGTGGTGGGTTCGTCCACATTTGCCGCAGTCTGCGTGTCCCACAGATTTGGAAATGGCGTGAACCGTTTCAGGTAGACGGCTGCTGCTGGTGGCGGTGGACAGCTGCTCCATGTGGCGCTGTGTTGCTTCATAAGTACGGGCCTTGTCAAGCGCTTCGTCCAGAGTCAAATCACTACCACCCTCCAGCAGGCGTTCTTGCACTTTCGAGTGCTTCGTCCCCACGATTAGCTGTTCTATCAGGCGATCGTTAGTCTCCTGAGCGTCCCTGAACTTGCACTTGGACGTCTTCTTCTTACACCTCGTAAAGAAATCATCTACAGACTCGTCGGGTTGCTGGCGGTATTTCTGAAGCTCAAACCGAGCCAGTCGTGCATTTACCCGTGGCTGCAAATGCTTATTAAATTTCTTGAAGACGGCAGCTACTTTGGATTTGTCGCTTGCATTATCCCACTCGAAACTATTGAAAGCATCAACACCAGTTCTCCCGATCCATAGCATGACATAGGCGACCTTTTCCTTGTCGGACTTGTCGGAAAAGGGCCCTTGGAAAACTAGAAGGCAGTATTGTTGGAACCGCTCGAATTCGTCAGGTAAATCTGCGGCTTGCCAATCCATCGACGGCGGGGTAAATCCGGCTGCTTCTGCCATTTTACCTCTTGCACCGGTGGCGCTGCTGCGACAATTCTAGGGCGTTTATTTAGTTTACTTCTGACACCATGTTTCGGGGTAAACAAGTTAGTTGTTTACGATAGGATTATATTCTCACTTGGCCATTGTAGGCAAATCATAAGAACCACGACATCTAAAGGATCCTGCATGAAAGTAGGCAGCTGCGAGATGCGTATCTCGCGCATGCTCTTGCATGGCTACGTAATGCATTACATCCTAATACAACAATCACCAATAATTTAAAAAAGGCGAGAAGCAAGACTGGAATTCTAGCAAAAAATCCTCTAGAGTGTCCTTCACTCTGAACTGACGTTCACGCTAGTGCTAAATGTACGACGTATTGCTGTACATGAAAAGTAGTTGAAGGACACCATACATGCACTGTACACATGGTACATTGTAGTACTGATCGATTTACATCCAGCATTTGGATTCTAAGTCGCAGGGGCAAGCTTTTGAGATTTTTCATGCGTTCTCAAGTGCGGTTAAAACACCCCGGAAAAACCGTAAAGCATGCATGAACAGGTAGCGTAGCCAGTAACGAATCAAGCTGGTATATAAGTTTAGAAACAATGCAGTTATGCTCACCGCGTCCAACACGTTGAACGGTCTGTTTCCAGTATGTATGGGTTGCCGATGACAATTAGCAACGCCTTGGCTCGTGTTACAGCCACATTGAAGCGCTGCGCAGAAACAACATACGGGGCATGCCAGTCAGAATACTAGAATAGCGGTTCAGGTTCTACCTGGTCTTATCTTAAAGGACCTCAGCATGACATTTGGCTGCGCGTTGTTACAGTGAGACACAGAGCAAAAACATGGAAATAACAACATAAGACAAGTCAGAAATCGATTGTAGGCATAGATAGTGTCGAAGGGAAAGTGGTGAAGCCTCAAACAAGACACAGACAGGCTTGATGATTTACTCGTTGGTTCCTTCTCCTGTGGACGGGTTCTTGGGCGGTGATTAATGGTACGGTGGTGGTGGCGGCGGCGGTGATACGGCAACACAAAGGGAAGCAAGCTCAGCCAGCACATGCTTGTAGCCCATTGCATCTAGTTGGCTGGTCCCCGTGCCCACCGGATATAAATGTACTATAAGTTGTATTAGCACGTTGCAGCAGCGTATGGTTTTTGGCGGCCAGACCACTTCTCGCAGGAGTCCCTTCCCAGAGATTTAGAACCCACCAAATGTCCAATTGTCGGAAAGCACGATACATGATGCAGTAACTGTTCCCACCCCGCATCCTGTGAAACACGACTACAGCATGCTATGGAAAAAGCTAGGGGTGAAACGAAGTAGTCGAAGGTTCGAAGGACCTTCGTTTTCCTTTGAAACGAACCTTCGTTTTTGATTCGAACGAAGGTCGACACGGGTTTAGTGCATTGATCTAATGTAGTAATGATTGTTGTGCGATGTGCTGCATGCACTAGCACTGTACAGTCTACGAGTCATGCTGTACTACAAGTAGGGGCACGGTCCGCGTGCGCACCGGAACTGAAGTGAAGAAGTGACAAGTCAGTGAAGAACTGGCCCTGTTCCAGTCGCCAGGGTGTTCCCGTTTTGCGTTGGTGTGTAGATCTACCATGGTGTACTCATGGATGACTTTTTTGATCGTATTCGTCGAGTGTTTGGCGCTCTGCGATACTAGTAGGAGTGTAGTTTTGCTATTTCGATCGTGTTTTCGCTCAGTTATGCTGCTTGTACCAGGAATATAGCTTGCTGTAGCTGCCGTCGATATCTGCTGGTGATGGTGTCTGGAGAACGTTGTAGCAGCGATACGAGTGTAGTCTAATAATTATTTGAATCGAAAATAAAAGTTTCCATCGCTGAAGCCATTGCAGTATTCACTCTCCCAGCAGCAGTGAGAGGGAGCGCAGCGATGGCCTGAAATCCTCGTGGCAGGTGAAGTTCCTCACCCAGTGACTATTCACTCTACTCTCAATCACCAATGCACCCGCTCGATGCGAGCAGATACTAGTAAGCGAAAAGTACATAATTATCCAGATTTGACAATTTTTTGATGAAGTTGGGCATCTGATATTTACTACGCAATATGGCTCTTTTCCGTCCATTTTGGTATTGTTCAAGCACGCAACTGGCCGTACACTAGAGCAGTGATCTATTGTCGCTTTGTGTCAAAAAGGCCAAGGCTAGCAAGTCTGTACACGATCCCAAGTACACTGATCTAAATTGTCAGAAATATGGACAATTGACTCACAAACAGGTATTGGGTATGGCCTCTATCAAGAGTATGTTAAAACCTTGCCTCTATCTATAGTGGTGAGCTGGGCCAAAGAATTTTTTGACCTGGAATGGATACATTGATACTACCAGATTCAGAAACAAATTGCACATACAATGTCAGTATTGGGTTCTGATTTTTGCACCTTTTTATTTTTAAGATTTTTGAGCGTTTCCGTGATCATGTTAAAAGAGAATCCTTCGACACCTTCGTTCATTTTAATAAAGAAGGTACGAATGGGAATTTGAGACCTTCGTTTCACCACTAGAAAAAGCCTGTCACTTGCCCGAACACCAGGCTGTTAGCCAAACCATGTGACACTTTGCATTAGAGTTGCAACCAATGTATATCTGTCCATATACTGACAGCATCATTAACGCTAGCTCCTGTACAATTCAGGGAGTATTTTGGCTGTGGCGTTCACAATGTTCGATGTCAGAAGAGAGTTTCATAGAGCAAATCACTCACCTTTTCATTGTTGAGAAAACCCAAACCATACGTTTCATCGATATCAGCATACTTCTGCTGGCTGCGCACTGCAGAGATGATAATGACCATGCGCTCCTGGCCTTGAAACTCTTCCACAGTACCAACTTTGATTGTTTCATGGTCCTTTTTGAGCAGAGATCGGATTTTGGTCACCTGTAACATTGTGTGCCACAAATAAGTAGTACACGAAAAGAAAAAGAACAGATGAACTTCTGAGTGGCTCTCGCCGTGCAGAAGATCATAGAAGTGGCCAGGCCCTGTTATAGGCTACTCATACTACGTTACAATACGCGTCACGTTTTGGAATACGACGTACTGGTGTTGAGGTTCGACCTCAACTAACTGAACTGCTACTGATCTGCATGATATCAGTCGCCATGTATCTGACTTTGCATTGTCGTCACTACCTACGTGTAGTGCACTGTTAGCTGTGTTTTAGTGTCGCGCGGTATCTGCGTGTCACGTGTTTATTGCTTTGCGCGGGCTTTTTCCATACTTTGAGTGAGTGGTGAGTTTGTGTGGAGGGAGTTCTAGAGAGAGAGAGAGTTGGAATGGCGGACATGGTTTTTCGAGTGGTTTTCCCTTTTGCTTTTGTCTTGTAGTATTGTCTGAGATCATGATAGTCTAAGTAAGAGATATCTCAGAACCCATCCAGTCGTTGTCTAACAGTCTGCGAACGAGCGAGCCCGACTCAACAACTGGCAGACGTCGTTTTCATGCAGGTGCATTTACACAGGCACGTATACGCCTTTCGTACAGCTGTGTGTAGCTGCGTCCTTCTTGTAGGTTCACCCAATGGGCTCTTCCCCAAACATAGCTGCAGGCGGCAATGCTGTGTGCCCTCCTAAAGTGTACGGAGTCCACAGTACACGAAGCACTGCAGACCCTTTACGTCGTACGACGCGAGAAGAGGCGCCACTCTTGCTCAACTAACAAGGGTAACAGCTCCCTTGCAGGACTACGTGTGGTCTCCTCAAGCTCAACAGTGTAGTGGGTACAATGCTGACGACTTGTACTGAAGGTGTTGCCGACGTACGACCACACTTTGCGTCTCTAGGCCACGAGTTGTAAGCCATGATTGCACAACTAACGAAAGTGCCAAATCCTTCGCAGGACTAATCATAGTTCTTACTGAACTCTAAAATATTTCGGAGCCCAGCTTTTGGCTGCTGAACTCAATGCAAGGTCGCTTTCACGACGAGTCTCATCCAGGTCATGACACATGCACTGTTGGGTTTGACAAGCAAGAGCTGTACATGTACATCTGTTGTGGTGTTGGTTGGCCATTATTGTTTTGGGAGCCACTATCAAGGGTAAGCGGCATATGCACCTGCAGATTTTCACTGTAAAGCACTTAGAGCTGTACAGTACCAGTACACAGCGGGCATGGTAGAGCACAAACAAGTCATGCAACCAGTCAAATTGCACTGTTAATGTACTAGGGTTATAACCGATAAACCGACCGTTAGCGTAGCAGTTATTAACCGTTAAGGTGAAAACCTTAGCCGTTTGAGCCTTAATTAACATCATGAGTAAAGTGCACTTACTTGGTTGTGATAGGGGCTGATCACACCAATGTCAGAGTCGGACAAATGAGCCAGTCCACGGATTTCTCTCAGCTGATCAACATACTTCTTGACAAGACGGTATTCCTTGTCATTGAAGAAAGACGGGTTGCTTGCTTCGCGTTCGTCCTTCCCCAACACGCCGTGGAAAATGATGGGCCCGCTTCCTCCACGAATCTACAAGCACACAGCGGCATCACAAAATTGCTCGAATCTAACTGATAGCTTGCATAGACCCCGCTCCTACCAGTAGGACTCACCACCATCATACACTGAGACATTCTGGACGGCTGATGTTCGAACAATTATTTAAAATGTGACTCAAAACTGTTGCTAAGGGACTGATGAAAGAGTCCACACATTTTAGAGGTGATCCTACAAGACGTAGTATGAAACTCCATGGCAACGGCGGACGTGGGATATGGAATGTCGCACTCCACTGTCCTGGCAAGCTGAGAAGGACCATAAGTCCTTATCATGGTCCATCATGATGCTATGGTCAAATATCACATTTGACAGAACACTAGTTGCTAGCGCTCTGACTGTAGTGTGTGCAGCAATTTCGACAACAGATTAAAATGGCACATATGCAATGCCCTGGACATAATCTTGCATTTTTCGCCGTTGCTTTGACTTTAATACAAAGACCTTATTTTTAAACAATTTTTTTGGAAATTCTCAACAGCAAGCACTTTCACAGAGCGATTTCCTGTGTACTACCAGTAGGACGGCATGCAAGGTATCATAAAGCAGTGCTCCCTGTCAGCTGTCAGAAAAGGCATGCAGTGAGTACTATATTTCAGTATACTAACTTGAAGTCCAACCAGTGGCTTTATCATCACAGTGTAAGCACTGTGTACAAAGGTCTTCGCAGAGAACAAGTACAGTATTCAAGGCAGCATTTCTATACTGGTGCCGGTTGCGGTGAGATTATGCCAGTGACTTCTCGACCCTCCCCTCAAGTTGTACAAGTATGACACTGCGGCTTCGTTAATTTAAACTGTACTTGACTCTGGATGCGCAGTGCTTTAGCCCTTGAACCCGGCCTTGATGTTGCATTGCATTCCTCAGCTACCTTATGTTGTGAAATACTACATTGCGACTTCCCTTTGATAATTGTACACTTCCTAGAATTCCTAGAAACCACCCTTACCTATACACAGACTCCCATGATAATGCAGACATCAGATTATGTATAAAGAAACCATTCGGAGTTCAGCAAAGTCATTCGGCTCCTTTCGGTTCCTTTCAAGTTCATTTGGTTCCTATTTGGTTCCATTCAATTCTATTGATGCACTCTATCAATAACACATTCTCCTTCCTTCTACTGAGTGTGAGAATGGTGTTCCTCATCCTTGGGGGACAGTTGGCCTAGAGTGTGGCCAGACAACACTGGTACTATAGCAGCATCCGTGTATGCAGCTGTCTAACGCATTGGGTATGCAGCTCTCTATAGTCTGCAAAATGGCAGTCAACACACTCTGAACATCACACGCTGACAGAACTGCTTGCAGCTAGATAGAGCATGTGTTGTTCAGCATGTGTTGACCACCATCTTAAAACAAACAATATACATGTACATGTAGCAGGATGTATTTTAGTTCATTTCTTTAAAACTTGAATAGCACTGGACCGTGCAATTCAATGGAGTGTACATGCCAAATTGGATTGCTACCACCAAAATAAACTGCAATGTGGTAGGTGGCATTGTCAAGTACCTACACAATGTGATCCCTGAAAAGGAAAGACAATAAATGTGACTTGCCGAAGTTTTGGGCGGTAAGCTGGTCCACTTGCAAAGTCTTTCTCGGACCAGTTCGTCAGCACAAGGAATCAATTCCGAGTCATAGAATAGCTCATTGGGGATTTTCAAGATGTCCGGATGCGATCGGTAATTGTTCACCAGCTTTGTGAGTACGTCTGAGTTGTACCTGGATATTCAACACAAGCACAGCACCAGTACAATATCAACGTACATATGCTATACGTACAACACCAGTACATTATCAACCCGTACATATGCTATACGTACAACACCAGTACATTATCAACCCGTACATATGCTATACGTACAGCACCAGTACATTATCAACCCGTACATATGCTATACGTACAACACCAGTACATTATCAACCCGTACATATGCTATACGTACAACACCAGTACATTATCAACCCGTACATATGCTATACGTACAACACCAGTACAATATCAACGTACATATGCTATACGTACAACACCAGTACATTATCAACCCGTACATATGCTATACGTACAGGTATGCAAGTGTAAAGAGTCGATTTTCACAAATCCCAATGGGTCATCGATTATTAAATGTATGCTGTAGTCGAAAGGAAAAGGACATATGGATACAAGTTAAGAGTAACTGTCCACCACTGTAACTAGAGACTATATACAGTCAGAAAGTGCAACAACTAGGCACAAAACTGACAGAGTACTGAGACATTCGACGACCTGACACCTAGCTTCAACACATCTCCGTAGCGCTAACCAATAGCCTTCCAACTCGGAAGGTTCAAAGTTAAGGAGAGACAAAAAGAGGGGAAGGTAAGCGCTACTCTTAACTTGTATCCATATGTCCTTTTCCTTTCTACATTTATTATTAGCTCAACATCCAAGTGTATAATTGCACATATGCTGTAGTCATAAACATTGTCTCTTCTTAAACATTTCACTGGTTTGAGGGAAAGACGCAAACACAAAGTCGTGACACCAGATTAGCACGCGGCAGTAGTGGTTTAAAAATGATTACTACGGATCCCTTCCATGGGATTGGACAAAGTGTGTCAGCCGTCAAGGGCGCCTCGAGCAAGCTACCAAGTATAGCCAGGAATCGCTTAAAATAAAAAATACCCGGATATGTGATGAAGCCAGATAACGGAAACGTGCCTTACACTGCACTAACGGTTACAACTACTCCAGACCCAGTGTTCTGAAGAGAGAGATCACCCCCACCCTCCTACCGGTATGCTCGAATTTTCATTCGGGAGAGCTTACCCCATGCCCCTTCCCTCATCTGAAGGTCTCCCATATTGTTCAGGGGCGTATGCAGGGGGGGGGGGGTGCTTTGGGTGCCAAAGCACCCCACCCCCCCTCCCTCAGCATTTTCGATCTTGGTATGATAAAGACCATGGTTCGCGATATTGTGCTCCTCAAGTTGGATATTTTTAGAAGCAGCACTATGGTCCACACAAGAAAAACACATTTTAATTTGGACATAGCAGTTTGTTCCGCATCGGCTATGTTTGTAGTGCTGGCTGTTCAGTCACGGTTTGCTTTGTAGGCTGTGAAAAGAAAGAAGTTTCTTCTGTGTGTTCTAAATGCACGCATATTCGCAGTAGCAGAGGAGTCGTGAAACATTGATGTGCAGTTCGTTGTTCTTTGGGAAAAAGTAGTTTGATCCACGATGCCTTTGCGGCACTATCCAACAAAAATTAATTTAAAAGGCTAGTGTTGCATGGAATAGATTGCCAGAATCTCTCGCAAAATGGCTTCCTCTCCTGCTTTTAAAACTTCGTTAAGAAACCATTATTCGGAGCGCTTATCCGTTAATTTAGCCATGATATGCATGTACAGTGCGTATCGGTTATAGCGTGGTCGTGTAAAAGAATATACCGCCTACAAGAATGAACTCTCATGTTCTCATAATCATAACATGGGTTTCAAGTGCACTTTTATTCTTACAAGCAATTTTATCGCATAGTAGAATATATCGGTCCTAAGAATGGACTTTGTGTAGCAAAACATGCCAGATTAGTACAAAGTATATCGCCTGTAGTAATAACATCTGTCCCATGTAGTTCTGATCTGACTCGCGTTGCGTCTTAGTGCTGCAGGTTCAACTGTTGTGGTCATGTAACTCATGTTGGATAGCCACATGGTAAGCCTATGGGACTATGACCAGCCGCAAGCACCGCAACACTATGTTGCATGTACGATGATCTTCCTGCCTCTGTGCACATGCATATGATATGTTACACTTGATGTATCGTGTGTAAGAAATATCGGAAATAAGAATAGAAAGTCGTTTTTCAAACACCCACGCTATAACCGATACCTACTTGTACCTGTTCTAATTTGTAGCTGACTTTTTTTAAACTCTTTGACCGTTCTCTCTCAAATGTGGCAAGGATGAATAGCATGGGCAATGCAATGTGATGTTTTCACGGTATCTACCACCACTAAAAGTTCCAAAAGGTTAGGGTGCTAGTTTGGATTAATGCACTGTCCAGGTAGGGAATGACAAGTGCTATATTGCTACCCCCCCCCCCCCCCCCACACACACACACCCCAGTGTTGCCAACTGGGGTGTGTGTGGTAGGGTATTTGTCCGTATTTTTACAGGAAAACGAAGTTTTGTCCGCAGTACGGATTTCAATCGAATTATCCCGCAAGCGATCATGTATGATCGATTACTAAAACCTTCATAACTCCATCGTGTCTTGTGCGAATTCAAGATTCGAAGGGTCTACGTGGCAGCGAAAACTCCAAGCTGTCCAATGCAACAATCGCCGAAGAGTTACGAGATCAGACTCAAGAGATATTGGCATATTGCGCGCCGTATTCCGGTATTCTTACCTCAGCAAATTCAAATTTTTGATCGATCTCTTCGCCATTTTTAGGAAATTTCCTTATCGTGTTCTCTTTAAGCGACTGAGCACATTATAATGACATAGCCGGCTGAAGTTTCAATTGCCTTGAAAAAAAATTGATGGTTCTGCGATGAAGGAGAGTGGAATGGTGTTGATGGGACGAATTTGCTTGCATTTTAGGCTTGGAGACGACTTTGCTGTGTTACCGCGCCTGATTTGTGGCGGCTTCATAATGCAGTATTAAAATGGAGCTTGGTATCTTGGCGTTGCTCCTGCCAAGAGCTTTCCAACTGTTAACGAGCCCTAGATTGTGAAAATCAAGCGAAGTAGACCAAAGTTATGACTTGGTGAAGTTGAAAATTGTAATGAATTCGTAGGCTTCACAAGTGTGGCTGGAAAGGTTATACAGTATTGGGGGGTTTCCACACTAAATCAGTCCAAATGTTGACCTGAAAAAACGAGTACCCGGTGACTCAACTATGCATAGACTGTGATACATGAAAAATAAGAACGGTCTAGGCTAGGAGGCTGACGCCCCCCAAGTTCGGGGTTTTTTCCACACTAAATCAGTCAAAATGTTGACCTGAAAAAACGAGTACGCAAAACTCTGATTTTTTTTGCAAAATGGCACTGGGCAATACGCATGGGGTTAGGGGGCACTTGGTAACACTGCATACACACACACACTAGTCCGTCAGGCGAAATTACTGGTCAGTCGGCGACACGCATTTTTCACAAAAATTTGCGTTTCACATGCTGGGAGAGTATGCATGTACTCGAGTCTCATCCTGAGCACGTTTTTTTCTTCTTTTTTTCAGCTCCAGTATAGCTGTATTTTTCATTGCAAAGCCGTCCTCGACTGTTGTGTTCGTTGTTCAAACGAAGTGGACATTCAATCATGAAGGCAGAGGACATAGGAGCCTGATTGGAGTTTCTCGTGGCATAGGACGGCCACACAGAGACACTTTGGGATTTTCTGAATATAAAATACCGTACGCACGATGCTGAGATCAATTTGTGCAATATCAAATTGTTTGTGATCTACCACATCGAGCAGAACGGGATCCAAACACAAGCTTACCGACGGTTAGGCTGCCGACCTGACTGGACAAATGATCCCTGGCTTCACCAGACGCCAGAAGCCGGACACCATGTCCTTTGCCGCGACGTCCATCTCCAAAAAGAACTCCATCTTCGTCGTGAAAAGGCTTGAAATCCTCAATATTCAAACGAGATTCGCGGACCCGCGCTTTCTCGGATCGATTAATTTCCTGTTGGAACAGTTGCAGGGCAGCTTCCCGCTACTGTTTCAACAGGCGATGGCTCCAAAGCATACCTGGAACAAGCCATATCGAAGTTGCAAGCCACCCCTCTCAGCAAAAAATTCGAAGAAATTCGAAATTTCAATGGTGGAAGATATACTATGAAGAGAATTTCAAAAAGTATGTTTCGCGGAGCGATCGCTCAACCTACGTCATTCAAACTTTGCAGGATGGTTCATCAGACGTACATGCTAGGCACATGGAACCACAGGCGATGATGCCATAGCTGACACACAGAGTAACACACACAGCAGATTCGTGTGCACAGATACTAAATTAGTGGACGTCGTCATCTTCTTCCCGCTGATCTCGAATGTACTATGACGTGCTATTTTGCCTGGCGATCAGCCCAAAAGACAACACAATCAGTCATAGCACACAGACTGACTGTAGCAGGCCTTCTAACCATATGAAACACTCTACAGTACCCGGCGCCAGGCGCCGAAGAACGGCCAGGCTAGAATTTCACCAAGCACAGCACACCAAAATGCATACCCGGTGACTCAACTATGCATAGACTGTAATACATGAAAAAATAAGAACTGTCTAGGCTAGGAGGCTGACCCCCCCCCCCCCCCCCCAGTTCTTCACCAACAGTACTGTAGTCACTATCAAGCTTCAACACAAAGAGGAGTGCCCGCGAGCCTGATAAACTCATCTGCGACCCAACTATACTGAGCCCGACCCTGGAATGCCCCCCCCCCCCCCCAGGCGCGTACGCAAGGTCACCTCTAGGGGGGGGTTTCCAACCGAATCCCAAACAATGAGTTTCTTAACCCTTTCTAAAGAGCCCTAGGAAATTTTCAAAATTGTGCATTTTTTCGTGTTCTTTGGATCATAACTTCAGTTCTACTGACTCAATCTTCATCATCTTAGGCTTCCTGGAAGTGCAAAGGTACCCGGGAGAGAATGAGGTCGACCATGATAGCCAGGACACAGTACAGTCATGTACATATCCAGCGCTATAGCGGTAGAGTGCAGCGATGGTGCGAAAAATGGCCCAAAGGCCCAAGCGCGTCCTGCTCCAGCAATTTCGTTTTTCTTGATCACAGAGTTTCGATTTTTTTGCAGTGTACTCTTGAAAATATCACAAGTGAAGCCCCTGCAAATTTGAGCAAGTCAGCATGACGGAAAGTCTCAAATTCTCAATACTCATGTCGCACTGCACGCTTTTGAAATTGCCGAGACCGCGGCTCAACTTACGAATGATTTATCTCAAGACACATTCCTCGCAGTGCGTCGCAAATTGTTTCAACCGACAGCTGAGAGTTTTCTACTCGACCTGGATATTCGGATCGTTGGATTTGAGCGAGATTTGACTGAGTTACGGTCTGTTGAAGTTTTGCATTCTTGCCAGATCGATCGTGCGCCCTACCAAAAAAATGCCCCAAACGTTGCTCTTTTGGAACATTTGGCGGGTTTCCGGGCAACAGGACCCCCCCCCCCCCCTGCGTACGCGCCTGCCCCCCCCCCCCCCCTCCATACACACATCACCCACATCCACTAACAGCCACCCACACCCATACATCAGGCGTGTATTCCCGTGAGAAAAATTAATGTCTGTGTACAAGAACACTCAGCTATTGCACTCACGTCTTATCTTCCTTCCGCTGGTACAAGTCACACACGGTCATGAGCCGTTCCAGAAAAGACACTTCAAGTCCATGCTTCTTGTTGTGACGCTCTGTCTCTACTGCTGCTTCAATACCCTCAGGCAACAGGGTCCCCCGAGTGTCTTTTTCCTTCTGGGCATAGCGTGACCGGACGACAGGACCAAGTTGCTTTGGATCACCAGCCAGCACAACCTGAGTAGAGCCAAGCCTGACCATACCTGACAATGGTATCAAGCACTCTGCTTCCACTGCATGGCCGCATTCATCAATGAATATATGCGTGAAATGGTCTCTTGACATGCCGGCTGACACAAGTCTATGTAGGAGAAAACAGGGAAGAGCAACACACAATTCCTCATTTATCACCAAAGTTGCTTCTGCTGTTTCATTCATGTTCCGACTGAAGAATAGAATTAGCTTCAGGCTCTTCACAAAGAACACTTTGCAAAATTACCATATCACGGAAGCATTGACACGAAATAGCCGTTCCTACCCAGTAACTTGCAGGAATGCCCAGATTATTGGGAAAAAACCCATCTTCTTTCCTATCAGCAGTCATAGACTTACCGTCCAGAGGTTGTCAATGTGCAGACCACCAGCCTCTTTCTGCAGATTTCTTCCAAAGATGGGAAGAAGAAGCACCCATTTGCACGATCATACTGGGATACTGCCTGGAGTTTGACAAGGGAAAAAGAACAAAAACAAAAACAGGACTACTTCACACCTCATGATTTCCATTGTGCCGCAGGCACCAGCAGCCACAGTGCAAACGAAAATAACGTTGCACGTTAATTAAGTCATTAACAAACACGTAAATTAAGGCGCTACGCTAGCTATCTTTCAACCATATTTTTGTCATTTGTAAAAGGAACACAGCTGTTTCTTTTACTCCCACATTCACCAACAAAAGCCATCACATCCTTGCACATACTGGAAAAGCAAATGTGCAGCCCTGAAACCTACACTAGCATAGGTTGTAGACAAAGAATTGTGCCAGTAGCAAGTTGCAACATAAGACACCTGTGGACCTGTACACACATACCGGTCATGTACGGGGTAAGTCAAACATCAATGGCGTGTGCACCATAGGTGTGCAGTGCCATACACATTGTACGGTCCGTGTGAGCCGATATGCTGCTAACTGCGATAGCCCTACCTTCACATCATCATTGAGAAGAGACGCCCAATTACGACTATGCGCATTCAGTCGCAGGATATACTCTGCTGGGATGAGCGTGGACTCCATGACACGAGCAGTGATCAAGTCTGCAGCGGAGTTCGACGGTGTACATACTAACACTCGGCACTTGGAGCGGGAGGCGCTTGCAACCTGTGCATGCAAACAAATATAGTTCAATCATTACACTTGGTGGCAGCTTGATGCAACATAGATATAACATGCAAGGTCATTTTGTTCCAGCAAAAACTGCACTCAACCTTCTAAGTGCAATGCTGACATTCTTATGCATGAGATAATATTGTTGTTAGGGCATGGTCACAAGTTCATGACTATCAATTTTACTGTGCAGTATTGCTAAAGTTGCTACAACCTCCTGTTTCTACTGGCTTGATACATAACATATATTTTAAAGATTGGAATTGGTAGAAGGGCACTGAAAACAAGTGGAGTATTGGCGGAAATGACAGTTAGCAGTATTACCTGGAGGATTGCCTCAACAATTGTGGTGGTTTTTCCAGTGCCCGGTGGCCCAAACACTAGATATGGTGCTTTGCCTGATGTCCGAGAAACAATACTCTCGACTGCATGCCGCTGCTGATCATTGCGTTCCACCTTGGAATTGTAGAATCTGTACAGCAAGTGGAAGTGAACAAGAACATCTATCATGCCTGGATGTGTGCCGATGGCCCGATGTGAGGTGGTGTTTGATGCACTGTAGTAGTATAGTAGACAACAAGGAAGACAATCAGTGCTGCTCAATGAAATCTAATCGTGTGAGCCAAGCCTGTACCAGTTCAGGTCTAGGGCTGCACAGTGCCCAGTGCACACTTCACACACGTGATTGGATTTCATTGAGTACAACTGTACTACCAGATGATAAAACAACTCTCCCATCCTTGTTGGATGTGGGGCGCATACACATGATACAGTACTGCTGGCCACAAATAGACGTACACTCATACCCACTGCAGCCTGGAGCTGTGTCAATGAACATTGAACCTGGTTTGGCGGAAGCCTTTTGGTTCGAACTCCCTCTCACTGCTGTCTCCGTTGCAAAAGAAGAGAGTTTCTACAGCCAAGGGCCTCTGGCCAAACCCACCGCCACCATTTCAGCATCTTCGCTCAGCTCCTTTCTAAGGAGCCGCCGTCCATAAAAGTCGAAAAATATACTTCCGGATTATGGCCAAATTTATGCTGACACCCCCCCCCCCCCCCCACACACACACACACTTCTCCTCCGACTCGCACACTATAATTTCTCGCTTTTCACCCATAGGAAACGTTGCGTGTGATCTTAGACCATATCCTGCACACGTCAGCATGGATGTAAACGTGTACGCACATGGACAATCGTCTAATGTCTTAGTCACGGAACCTCCAAGCAATGTCCTCTATGCCATGCACACACAGCTAGTCATTGTATGTGACAGGCACTTCAAGTGGCGGAGAGTTTGAACAACTTGCATGTCCAACCCGAGAAAAGCAAATGTCCACATCGTCATGCATGCAACTTTTATGACACGTTGCATGTCAAGCACCAAACTGTCATAATTTTGATAAGTTTTTTGAAGAGTTCTAGATGGAACAAGCACACAGCAAGAGTACATAATCCAGAGTGGAACAAGCACACAGCAAGAGTACATAATCCAGAGTGTGCAGCCCCACATCTATGCTGCTGCATAATACCAAGCCCACGGAAAATGTAAGGAAAAAATTGGAGGCGGATCCAATTTCGAAAGAAAAGGTGTCAGCACCGACGCAATCCACACAGTCAAGTAAGCCAATTTAGT